AATAGGCCCGCGATTGAACGGGCTGGCCAAGCAAAGGCCCAAGCCCGTCCGTTTAGGCGGGCGGGCGGGCCAGCCCGCGGGCCATGGCCCGTTTTGACAGTGCTAATTATAACCGACAACGGACGTCAGTTTGAAGGGAAACGATTTGAAAGCTTTTGTGAAGATTACGGCGTCAAGCATTTCTTCTCGTCACCTTATCACCCACAAGCTAATGGACAGATAGAAGCTGTGAATAAAATTATCAAGAATGGCTTAAAAACTCGGCTTGAAACTGCGAAAGGATCATGGCCAGATGAGCTACCTCATGTCCTCTGGGCTTACCGAACAACGACTCGGAATTCAACTGGTGAAACCCCGTTTTCATTGGCGTATGGAACTGAAGCCGTGATACCTGTTGAACTTGCCTCTCCGACGTATCGAATTGCCCATTTTTCAGAAGAATCTAATTCAGAGAACTTGAGGGTTAGTCTTGATTTAGTTGATGAAAAGCGAATCGATGCCGAAGTCCGGAATGCCGCTTATAAACGGCGTAGTGAAAAGTATATTAATGCGAGACTCAAACCGCGTTCGTTCGCCGTAGGTGACCTCGTATTGAAAAGGATCACTGGAGCCAATGTCGGCCCGCTACAACCGAAATGGGGAGGACCCTTCAAAGTCAATCGTTTAGTCTCTAATGGAACCTACCGACTTGAGTCTTTGGATGGTGTTCCTCTTCAATATCCTTGGCACGTGACTCATCTGAAGAAATACTACCCGTGAACCAAGGATCAACTTGCAATTTCTGATAACTTCTGATGTACAAAGACTTTTGTCTTGCCGATGTACCAGATCACATTTTGCTGTCAATAAAGTTTGTGTGACGAACCCCTATAATTTGTTCGATCACTCGGACCACAATAAATCGGTCCCTGTTGCTAAGGCTAAACGTGTTTCATACCCTGAAGTTGGTATGACCTAGCCAAACGCGACAGAGCCGGATACTTCCAAGCCCTGAAGATGGTTTGGGGAGGCTCATGCTCTTTGATATCAAATCCCAACGATGATTTGGTGAGCTTACAATAAGACCTTTAAGTTCTTTGAGACATTCAAGGACTTTTACAATAAATGTTCCCGATAATAGCAAGTTTATTATGACTTGTTCTGACAATAAAGTTATTGATATCGGAAATGCTATAAAATTATACCGACGTCAATAGTTCATACAAATTACTGTCATTTTAGTACCATGTCAGGAAATATGATCGGACGAACATTCATTCACATTGTCTGACATGTTTAGACTTCTTACGATAATAAGTCGAATTGACGCATTCATAAAAAATATCACAATCATTAAACATTAATATTCAAAAATAAATATTGTCATTACATTCCAGAAAGACACACAATAAAATAAGTATGAAACATTAATTATCATTCAACATCTTTGGTCCCCGACGACGACGCTTTCCCGGCTGCAGAGGATTGGGGAATTTCAGCCTCAGCCTTCCCCTTGCTGGCAGCATCTATGTGCTCTATCAGTCTTTGGCTCAACCGTTCAATCATTTCTTCTTCCTTCTCTTCTGCTGCCCGGACAACATCACTTTCCTTGATAAGGACGACGTCGTCATCAGCGTGTAAAACACGGTCGTCGTCGGAAGGAATTGGATCGGCAACCCATCCTTTAGCCTTGGCATCATCTTCCGCCACCTTCCGCAAGGCGAAGTTGATAGTCGCGCCCAAGAGCTCTTCATCAGATAGGCCTTCAAACGTCTCCGCGACAAAGGCCTCCGCAATGGTCTTTACGCAAATATTAGCCATTTCAGGCTTTTTAACTTTTTTCACTTCAAGAACCATATCAACAAAAGATCGGCGGATTTTCGCTTTACGCTCCTCCGATAAGGGCACCATATCCAGTTCTAGCATCCGACTTCCATTTTGCTTTAGAAGTCGGTCGGCAAAATCTCGCTCATCCTGATCTGCTGGGATATGGGCACTCTTCATCTCGGGGTTAAGACGATGCTTCTCCATTTTGTGAAGGAGGAAGATACGCAACTCATCCATGGTGTAGACGCCACTCTCTACTCGGTCGATTACCCAGCGCAATGTCAGCGCGGCGTTCAACTCTAAATCCCATTCTGTTACGGTGTCGACATTTAATACGTTGTCGGACTCAGCCATTGATTTTTTGCCGACATCGACTCCTTCTTGGAATTTGAGCTCAGCGGCGGCTGTCATTTCTTGGCGGAGTTTACTCATAGCAATCTCGTGAGCCTCCCGACATCTAATCAGCTCAGCATCCTTTGCAGATCGGTCCTTGCGGACAGCTTGAAGCTCAGCCCTTAGCCTCATCAACTGCTCATCCTTTTCTTTGGCCACCTCTTCGACTTTGGCCAGCTGAACCGAGGTGAGGTCATGAGCCAACAGTAAATTTTCCTTCTCGGTTTTAAGGGCGCTCACCTCGGTTTGCGTCGCTTGCAATTGAGCATCTTTCTCCGACAAGGTCGCCTCGTAGCGAGATTTCTCATCTTCTAAAGATGCTATGGCACCTTCCTTTAAGCTCAGCTCATGCTGCTTTCGTCCAGCTCGTGCGCTCTACCCCGATAACTTTCTTCGGCAGCAATAAAGCTAACCAGCGCCCGCCCTAAGCAACCTCGGGCATAACTGAATTTTTGGTCATCAGGCAGAGATGCAATCCCAGCGTGAGTTTTCGGGTCCCACGACATTAACGGAACTTTAGCCGCCTTCACTGCCTCAGTGGGGACCCGGTGGTTGATGGTGACCTTTGGCTCGGCAACCGTCTGAAACATTGAGAACCAGAGGTCAAATACGCCCTCTGGTAGCGTCAGCTCTGCCGCTTTTTTTCTCATTAACTTTGAGAAAGGAGTCTTTCAGAACAATTTCAGGCTCCTCCTCCTTATCTTTACCAGCGCCGGTGTTTGGTTTTTTCTTCATCCTCTCAGCCACGTGAGAGACGCTCGATCTCTTCCGCCGTTGGACTACATTTAAGAGCGGTCTTCCGACACCTCCCGCGAAATGACGGTCATCACGGTAGGCTCCTCTACCGACGTCATTACCTGTTGAATTGGGGCAACGTCAAGTGGCGGGACATCGGTAACCGACGGCTCAATTATAATCGCCGGTGTCGGTTCCACCCTTGCTGACGATGATTCACCAACAGTACTCTGTGAATGGTTGGGGTTCTTCTTCCAGGCTTTCAGAAGGTTCATGCATCCAGCCATTTCAGTTGATCGGAGATTTTTATTTTTCCCAACTTTGTTCTTCAAATCGAAGTTTGGATTATGTCTCCGGTGTTCCTCCGCCTCTACAGGATCTCCAAAACTGAAGTATCCCAGCAACGGATAA